TTGCCCAAACGCCTTAGCTAAGGAACAAGGCTTGAGCCCAGGTTGGGGGGCAGGAGAGCCAGGTGGTGAGCCACCGCATTGCAGCAACCCTTCTCAAGCACGTGGTGTCTGCCGAGAACAGCCCGCAGAACCAGCAGTCTCACAGAAATCCCTTCTCGGGTAGGGATCACCAGCCCCACTTTATAGATGAGGAGACTGAGGCTCTGACGGGGATGCACTGTGCCCAGGGTCGCAGGGCTGGGACTGGAAGGGTTGGGACCACTGCTGAAGCTCCCTGACCTGAGGCCATCCCCTAGGACGCTGGTTCTCGCACTGTGCACCGCAGGCCAGCGGCCTCCGCATCTCCAGATGACATATCAGAAATGCAAACCCTCGGCCCCAGCCAGACCAACGAAATCAGGAATCCTGGCAACCTGTGTTTACAACAAGCCTTCCAGGGGGTTCTGACCACACTCATGCCGGAGAACTACTGGTCTAGTGACTCCCGAAGGCCCACAGCTGGCAAAAGTTCACCAAGTGCATCCACCACCTCGGCTGAAGTGCATCGGGTCATGGGCAGAGTTTGGGAAAGGAGGGCAGCAAGCAGAGATGCTGCCCAAGACTCCCCCGCCTCACTGGAGCCTTCTCCCTGCCACTTCCTGATGGCAGGCGGGACTCAGGGCAGGGCTGCTGGGAGAGGGCACAGAGCTGGGCCCACTCAGAGGGATGCGGGGCTGAGTGACCCCCCAGAGCAATGAGCTCCAGATGGCATTGGGGGCTAGTGCTTTAGAAAGTTTCATGGTAAAACAAAACAACAAACACACCAAAACACAGAGCAAAACACAAAACCCACTCTGCCTTTGCCAGAAGGGTGACCAGCAGGAGGATGACCAACTGAGCAGGTTTACCCAGGACCGAATGGTTTCTGGGATGCAGGACTTCCCAGAGTGGACACACCAGGCTAAGCCGGTCCCCCTGAGCAGCAGTGTGCTGTCTGGCCCCGTGGAGGACACCCACCAATTCGTTTGGGCAAGTGCTTCTGCCAGGTACTTCCATGGGAGACTTGATAGGTCTGCTTGAAGTCACTCAGAGGTTCCTCCCTTCCTTCTCTCTCCCTCTGCCCAGGCTTCTGCCAATCAACATGGTGTCAGCGGGGAGTCTCCGGTTGGCTCCTTCGGCCCCTAACTCTGGGCCTTTGCATCAGTCCTCCACGGCCTGTCTGGCCTCTCTCTGCTCCGGGGTCTGCCAGGGAATTCTTTCACGCCTTCTCACCCCTTCCGGAATGAGCCTGTCCTCAGCAGTGCCTGTATTCCCCTGTCTGGCGCTCACAGGCCACTGTGCATCCGAAGGATTTCCATAGGATGATTGGCAGCCATGTCAAAAGCACTTTTCACTTATGGAAATCCTCAAGTCAGCCCCTTGGGTGGGTGGAACCTGCAAACCTGGTTTGTAGAAGGTGGGGCCGAGGCTCAGGTGGCCCAGTCCTCCTACACACACACACACACACACACACACACACACACACACACACACACAGAAGTGGCCGAGCCGGTGCACCAGCTGAGGCTCGGGGACTCAGACTCTCATGCTGGTTCCCAGCCTTTTCATCACCCGGCCCCTGCCAGTGAGGACAAGTCCCTGGGTGTCTCTGTGTGCCTCCAGTGGCCCCAGCATGGGGCTGGGCACACAGCAGGTGCTTGGCTACTGTTCCCCCACCTGAAAGAGAGGCCCTTGGGAGCAGGGGGCGGAAATTCAAGGCCCATCCGATGAACAAGTGAGCAAAGGCTGGCATGAGCCTGGAGGCCAGGTATCCAGAAAGACAGCAGGAAAGGACACTACTACAAAAGACAGTCCACGGGACTGTGAGCTCCATGAGAGCCGGAGCTGCCCCTCTCTCGCTCACGGCTGAGTCCCTAGCCCAGCACCTGGCGCGTTCCATGCACACCTGCTAAATGACAGCAGAGCTTCCGCAGCTTTGGAGCCCTGTGCCCTCTGGGAGAGTGGACGATTCCTTTCCATTGTAGGACAGGCAGAGGTTGTGGCTGTGGCCATAGCTCGGTTGGACATTTTACTGGGCACCACTTGTGCGCAGGGTCCGGGTTGAGCTCAAGAAGGACTAAGAGAATGTACAAAACATTCTCTGCCACTGGTCTAATCTGCCAGGCACTTCATGGCTGTGGGGTGCATCCACTGACCTCTCTGCCCAGCGTTCATGTCCATGACCTTGGGAGGCCTCTACTCCCTTAACCTCTGTCTCTGCACTCCAATCCCCAGGGTGGTCACATGGCCCACGCCTGGCCAATCAGTATATTTCATCCATAGCCCACTATGATTGGTCCAAGGATAGACATGTGACCCAAGATGATCCAATGAAAGTCAGCCCCAGATGTTTGGGGAAAGAGAAGCTCTCTTCCTAGGAAGATTACTAACTGCAAGGTTGATAGAATCCTGGTGCCTGGAGTCCCAGGTACTGGTCCATCCCGAGAGAAGAGGCAACCCAGGAGAAACCAGGAGAGAGAGAAGAGGGCCGAGACAGAAATCCAATACTGTCATCATGGAAGACCTGCTGCTGGAATATCCTGGCACATGAGGTGAAAACTAGCATCTCCCTCCCTGGTCTTGTGTTGCTTAAGCCACTTCAAGGTGGCTGTCTGCTGTGTGTGACTAGAAAGTCCCGCCTTAGGACCAAACTGTACCTGCTCCCCGCTCACCCAGGAGGCCCTCAGCCCCAAAGCTCAACCCAAGGCGGCTGTCCCCAACCTTGGGGCACTCTGCCCACCTCCCCTTCCCTGCAGCCCCAGCCTAGCTTCAGCCTCGTGGCTGGTCTGGGGACCGAATTATCCCCAGAGTCTCGCCCTTGACTCCAGTCTGGTAGCTCATCCCCAACTGCACCTCGGCGTCGTCAAGAAAGCTAATCTCTCTATAGCACATATACAGAATCACGACATTTCCCTGCTTAACCCCTTTGTGGGCTGGTCACAGCCCACAGCAGACTCGTAAAGGGCGGGGCGCGTGTCCCTGCAGCTACGTGAGCTGGCTGCCCACGGCACAGGGACCCGGCACTCAACACGGTGAAACCCAGGACCAGGAATGAGGCCCCTCTGATTCTCTCACAACCCTTCTGCTGTCTTCGCAGAGAAGAGCCCCCACAGAGAGCTACCAGGGCCCCCACACCTCGCTAACATGGGCTTCATTTTCATTACATTTATTTTTACGGTCACTTGATGTTTGTGCTGTCTTTTCATTGACAGTGGTTGTGTCAAGTTTTCTTTGGAAATTAATTTGCATAAACACAAAAGTGAGTCTATTTAAGGAAAAGGGGGCAAAGAACAGGAGGCATTTGGGTACGATGAATGACATCTGGCAGACTGCGATTCACAGGAGAAAATGGGATCTCATCGGCCACACGCCCGCCCGAGGCCCTGCCCGGCCTGCCCCTGGCCCACCTGCTGAAGGGATTGTGACCCCAGGGATGGTCCCACAGAGGCAGACCTCCACACCTTTGCCCATGCTGGTCCTTCTGCCCAGGGCCCGTTCCCACCACCTCCTTATCAACTGGGAACAATGTCATTGACTCTTAAGACCCAGGTCACAGTTAGTATGCCGTGGCCGAGCTACTCAGGGGTCTCCCGGGCACCGGATGGCAATGTCTGCACTGTCTCTGGCCACCTCTTGTAGGTTGCTCACAGGAGGGTCGGTCTTCCCTTTGAGGCTGAGAGATCCCAGGAGATCAGAACGGCCTCTCATCTCTGTGTTGGGCACAGCTCAGTCAGCACCAGGTGAGCTGAAGGGGCTCTAACTGGGTCCATCAGATACAAGTGCAGCTGGGGACAGCACAGGCCTGGGGTCCACACCCAGGGAGGAGGAGACACCCTCAGGGAAGGGGTATGATCTCTCTGGGCAGATGCCTGAGGCCAGGCCCCCCAGGACAGCTCAGGGATTCCTTCCGGAGAGAGGAGGAGGTGAGCATCCTAGGATGGGGGCGTCCTGCAGAAGCCCAGAGACAGCAGGGGCCCTGGTAGGCCAAGTTTCTCCACTTCAACTTGCATTTGAATAGCTTCAGAACTGCTACTTCCTAAGCCCCACTGGAGTGTCTCTGAGTGGGTGGGTCTGAAGTGGGTCCCTGAAGCTGCCCTTTTAAAAAAAATGCTTCAGGCAATGTTGATGACCCCACTCTGAGAAGCACCAGGGACAGGTGTCAGATAGGAATGGAGACAGGTAGGGGCCCAGCAGACAAAATGCAGAAATGCACGGGAACTGCGAAGATGCCCCAGGACATTGTGTTGCTGTCTGGACACACAGCTGACCAGAGAGCAAGTGCCATCGAGGTTCTTTAAATACGCCCCAATAACTCAACGTCGGCGCATTTAACGAGGGAGACCCAGCCAGCATCAGGGGCATTCTACAAGCTGAACCACAGATGATCGACCCCAAGTACAGAATCTCTTCTCAGAGACCTTGTCAAGTAGCAATTGTGTGCAGGGCCCTTAACCCTTGGGGGGTCAGGACTCGGCTGTTTCTGGCTAAGAAACCCTCCTTTGTTTGAATGACCAGGAGGTCGAATTGTTCATAGATGAAATCAAGGCAAACGAGCGAGGGGGTGGGGAGCCAAGTTCATTGCAAACGGCTGAGAGGCATCCAGGCCACTGTGCTCCCAGAGCCTCCTTAAACCAGAATTACAGTGGAAAAATGAAACTGTGCGTGGGTGGCTATATAAGCCTGGTGCCCAGGGCCTGTCCTTTAAGGTCTGGCCTTTAGAGCAATCTGGGCCCCGCCACTCATCCAGTGGAGGTTGACTCTTATCTGATTAACGGGAGCAGAAACATCCTTCTCCGTCCCGCAGGAGCGTTCTGTGGGGAAGGCGTTTTGCAGACTGCAGGCGAAAGTTGGGCCTTGGCTTTCCTCCTGCTCGGCCAGTGGAAAATTACAGAGGAGGCAAGGCTGCCCTCTGCTATGCCCAAGGTTCTCCCGGGGCCCGGAGGACACCAAGAGAAATCGGAAACAGGCAAGGCTTTACTCACCTGGGGCGGAGAGGAGTCTGGGAGGCGGCGGGGGCGGGGGTGGTGGTGGCAGCGGAGGAGGGGGCCGGCACTGGCAGATATGTTGACAGCTGTCAGTCACCTTGGAGCAGGACTTCTGGGGCTCACCGTGTGTCACCTGCAGAAATGGACCCACGTGACCAAGAGATGACAGTGAGGCAACTGGGAGCCAAAACAGGCCCGCCCCACCTGCTCCCTGCCAGGCCAGGACTTGGGCTTCTTCTCCCAAACCACGGCAGGAAGAATAGACAGAGGCCAGGTTCAAAGAGAACAAAGTTGTAGGAGGCGAGCTTGGCAGGTTTGGAGATTAAGATTTTATTTCCAGCTCTGCCGGGGACCAGCTATGGGACTGTGGCAAGTGGCTGCAATATTACAGAGAGGCAGAAACAGCTGGAAGATGAGCTCCTAGAAGCTCCCCAGCAGACCGACGAGGACGCTGAAGTCCAGAAGTGGCTACCCCTGGTTCCCCCACGTGGGTGGGCGCAAGACTCCGATTTACGCCACCAGCAGGCAGACCCAGCCACTCCTCCAGTCTGTCCTGCTCCAGTACACGGCCCAGCCTTCCCCTTCCCTCGGTCCCAGCTCCTGATAGCCTTCCTGGGACGGCCAAGGCTCTCCGTCTTCAGGGAGGAAATGCCTTACTGAGCCAGGCGTCTGCTCTGGTGATCCACACAACCAAGGACAGCCCCAGCGGTCTAGCGTGAAACACACCCAACCAGGCCACCTGCATCCCTCAAAACCCCCTGAAAGCCTGTCCATAGGTCAGGGGATCACATGGCCACAGGAACCTGCATGGGAGACCACCTGCCCCCCCCCTCAGCGTCTCCAACCCCAGTTCCCCTGAGCTCTCACCCGCAGCTCTGCCCTCAGGTCCTTCTTCTGATCTCTGGCCCCGACCCCACTCCCACCCTTTTCGTGGGCTGCTCCAGTGAGCCGGAGTGTCCCCACCCCCACCTTTCCCCACTGGCCCCTCGCCCAGCGCTGCTCTCACCTGCTCAGGGAAGCAGCCCTGACCCCCGGGACCTGGTCAAATTCCCTTTTCATAGACTCCTCCTGCCTAGGTCCCACTCTACAGGGCCGAAGTCTGCCGTGGGGTGACTACCTGGTTTCTGCCCATCTGCAGTGCTGGGCCATAGATCTACGGGGGCAGGGGCCAGGCCTGTGATCATTTCTCTCACTATCATAACCTGGCACTCAAGGGGATGCCTGGCATTCAATGAACATTTGGCAAATGAATGAGTGAATGAACAAATGAAGAAATATTAAAAGCTGGACCAGAAACCACGCCTCTGGAATGTGGGTCTGATGTTTTTGGACATCAGTGTCATTTCCTGACCTGTAAGCTAGGAAGAGCAGTGAGAGCTGGTTGTGTTCACCGAGTGGTCCCCAACACCGACTGCACATCAGAATCTCCAGGCAGCCCCCCCCCAAATACTCCCATCTGAGCCTTAGCCACAGTTACATCAGAGTTTCTGCAGGTGCAGCTGGGCATGGGTATTTTAAGCGTCCCAGGCTAAGCTTCTAATGAAGCCATAGACTGACTGTCCGTGCCCACGCCCACGTCCCTCCCTGAGGCGGTGCCGTAAATCCGAGGGGCTGGTGCTTTGTGTCGGTCCCGGGGAACAAGCTGATTTAAAGGAACGAAGGAAAAAGTTGGTGGTCACCCCCAACCCCAATAATGCCCACACTTAATTTCTCTGGCTGTCATCTTGAGTGAGTAGAAACCTGGAACCCTGATCTCCCTGCAAAACCAAAACCAACCATGTGCGGCTGCCTTTAAAGGCCAGTGTGACCCTTGGCTGCCCATGTCCTGGACCAGCAGAGAGCCCACAGGGCTCGGATTCCCACTGCCTTTGGCAGACGTGAGCAGGCTAGGTAAGGGCCATGGGGACGGCAGCAGGAGGGGAACCGGTTTCCGGCTCTGACGGCACCAACAAGGCCAAGAAGCTCCTGCTTACCACCTCTGAACGTTTCCAAGGGATTGTTGACTATGGTTCAAGCTCCGAGAGGCAATCTGTGTCCCGCTAGAAAGAGCGCATCCTTGGAGAGTGAGCCTTTTCTCTGTTATGTTACCGACATGATTAGCTCTTTGCCCCTCAGTGACCGGGCCACTGGCTTCTCCACTGCACAGCAGTCAGTTCTCCCGCCGGCGCGGAGCCTGCCCTCCACATTCTGACCTTCTAGGACTGCGGGGGGTTGCTCGGGAGCTCCGTCTGCACAGCCGCTGGCCCCAGAGATCGCCTCTGCCCTGAACTCTACCAAGTGTGTGAACGTCAAGCTGTGAAGGCCACTGCCAAAGCAATTACTTTCCCACTCTCCACAGTGCAATTTACGCGAGAGCAGCACGTTTGTTTAACCTGGCCCAACCCAATGACCTATTTTTGTGAGAGGCTATACGGGCGCAGATGTATAAGAGAGTTTAATGCAGTGAAATTATAGGCAGGGAACCCAGGGCCAAGCTTCGAGGCTGATGGGAGAGGAAAAATTTCAGGAAGCTGTGGTGTCTCAGGATGGCCCCACTGGAAAGGAGGCCGGCACAACCGCTTAACCCCATTGCGAGAGTATCTGCTCTGGGCTGGCTGTCCCCCCTGAGGGGCGGGCCCCACCTGGGCCCCTTCCTGGAGTTTGGTCCAGCGTAAACCTGAGGCCACTGAGCCTGTCCCCACTGACAGCTGGTTACGAAAACCCTTGATCCACTTGCCAACCTCTGTTCGGCTTGCAAACCCAGCCTTTGCACAGCCTCCTCAAGCAAGCCATCCTGAGCCCTGCGACCGCCCCAGTGAGACCCGCCTGCCCAGGGCAGCTTCCTCACCTTGTACGCCCTTGTCTTTGGGGGCATCTTCCCCATTGTTTTGTAATGTTCACTCCCCCCACTTAAGCTGGCAGGTAGATGAGCCTGTGCTTCATTAATCCTGACTGAGTGTGACTTCCTGAGCTCTACTGTGCGCTGGCCATGGGAGACGGGCTGTCACTTCACCAAGAGGATAACCGGGAGGTGTGGTTGTTACCATCCATACGTAGCGGGAGGGACAGCAGGCTCAGTGAGGGTGAGTGATCGGCCGGAGCTGCCCAGGGCCCGCGTTCCGTGGGAGCTCAGGGAAAAGATGTGAGGGGAGGTGATCTGCCGCCCAGTGCCGACACACGGGGTCTAGCCCGTCCCCCACAACCCAGGCCCATTTTGGGGTCCTGTGGGGTCATGGTATGGCATTAGGCAAGTAGAGAGGAGATCTTAGTACCGGGAGCTTGCATCCATACCTGGCTTGATTGGTTTACATCTTAGGGAGTCCCACAAGGACAACAAACTTGCCCTTGAGGTCACCTACTCTTAGCTAGACTTGACTAAGAAGGAGCAGAGGCCCAGAGAGGCCAACGACTTGCCTACAGCCCACAGAGCAAAAGCTGGCATCGCGACTTCCTAGGATGAATTTTCACTCCAGCTTTGCCACCCTCTGCCTTCCCTCCCCTGCTCAGCAGTGTTTTCCTGGGGCCAGAAGTCACCTGGATTGGGTACCTGTCGCTGTGGTCTGGGGCACAAGGGGCTCCATGGCTGCCAGTTCCCACTCCTGGCCACTCAGTTCAGCTCTCTGGTCCAGGGGATGCTGCCTCGTAAACAGGACTTGTATCCATTCATGCTCTCCATCCCCCTCGAAACTGGGACCCCACCCTCTCTCTGCTGGGCAGCCCCCACCTCTCCCGTGGGGTTGCCAGGTGAAATGCGGATGCCCTGTTAATTTCAGATAAACAACCAAATTTTTAGTATAAGTATGTCCCAAATATTGTAATGGGACATATTTATTATGCTAAAGAACAATCTGTGGTTTATCTGAAATTCAAATTTAACTATACATCCTGTATTTTTATTTGCTCAATCTGGCAACGGTACCATCACCAGCCTCCTTGACCCTTTGCCTCCTCGCTCCCCACCCCGAATCCATCTTTCTGGCTGGAGCTGGACTGAGATGTCTAAAATGCCCATTTGAGGTCATGTCATCTGTTGCATAAGCCTTTGACAGTCCCATTGCCCCTAGGAGGAAGTCCAAACTGCAAGATACGATGTTAGTGGCTCACGACAGTGGCCTCACCCTCCTGCTTCCAGCCCCGGGGCTGTTCCCTCCACCTGCACGCTTCAGTCACGCCCCCCGCGGCTCCTGACTTCTCCTGGTTTCTGCCTCAGCTGAAGCACCGCCCCTGTGATACCGCTCAGTCTCTTTTGCTGGGTCCCATCTCCTGTGGAGCCATCTGCCTGTAAGTGCTCGTTTAATTATCTCTCTCCAGTAGCAGGCAGTCGCTGCCCCGAGGGCAGGGACCACTAGGTCCCTTGCACTTAACACAGGGCCTGGCAAGCAGTAGGTGCCCAGTAAATACTGCTGAATTCTTAAGTGAAGCCGTAGCGGCTGGCCGGAGGGGGAGGTCGGCATCACTTGGGTCTGGGGGTGGCACCTTGTCCGCACACAGAAACCCATAGGCTCGGCCCGGAGCCTGTCTCCCCACCCGTGGCTTTAGGAGGACGCCCACAAAGATGATGGCTTCTGGCATCTTTTATGGAGACAGGCCAGCACCACAGTGACTTGATGAGACACACTCCTGTCACACCTAATAAATCTGCCAGCCTGTCATCCTCTCCGCTTGCAAAAAAAAAAAAAAAAAAAAAAAAAGGAATCATCCGGAAGTGAACTTAGAGGAACCCGACATCACAAAAGCTCAAAATCTCAATTCCAGACACATTAAAGAGAAAAGGGGGGGGGCTAATGGATGCCCCCACACCAACCTTGCGGCAGTTTAAATGTCATCTGACTTGAACGATTGAGTTTCTCATCATCTCGGCAGCCTCCAGAGGCTTCGGGCTGATTTCAAGGTAGGAACCCAGTGCACTGGGGACCACAGGTCTCTCACTTCACCAATTATCCTATTAATTAGAAGACTTCATCACATCAGTCTCCCCCTTCCAAATGCTTAAGACTTCAGGGGGCTCTTCTGACATAACTTTCGTGGAAACTCTGAGTCCTTTCTCTATGTTAGAGACACTCCCATGACATGACAGGGTTTAAGCACCTCCACTGACAGGGAAATACTCGGCTTCATGCCCTTCCACTTTTCCTCTTCTTCCCTCTGTTCCCCTCGATTCAGCTCTCTTGCTTAAAACCGGATCCATCCTCCCCCAAGCCCCTTTCCCTTGGCTTCCCAGTCCTTATCATTTGTAGATTAATTTTTCCAGAGCCTGCAGCCAAGATTTTATCCATTCTACTTGTCTAGTGGGTTCCTTTTCTAATTGGTTTGCACGCAAATTGATTTGTATTGAGTAACAGCATCTGAAACACACACACACACACACACACACACACACACTTGTGTAAGTACTGCCTGGCTGAAAGACACTGATAAAAAAAAATGGGCTACTTTTGCACAATTATTTCTTTTGGTGGTGGTAGTGGTGAGTCTCCAGTTTCTATCTGGGAGAATTCTAGTCATGGAGAAAGATAACATCACTGGGCTGCTCTCTACACTGGCTGAAAAGTCCTATGGAAAACTGGAAGCAAATGAAAATAAAAATGAAGAGAACATCATATCTCAGGCTCGACTCCAAGTTGAACAAGGGAAGCTGGTCCTTAACCGCCTGAGTATTTAAAAGTGACAAAACCCTGCATCCTGACGAGGCACAGCTGAGTTTAATAACTGCTGTTTCGCACGTTAAAGGAAGCCGGCAGTTTTGAAAGGAAAACAACTGAGAGTGAGGCAGAGGCCAGCCAGGGAACAGGGCAGAAGGGCCTGGTGCCGGGCTGAGGGGCGGGGGACGCTGATGGACCCACCCACTCAACCAGCATGTCCGGTCCAGCTTTAGAGCTCCTGGTCCTCGCCCAGTGGTCACTCGGCCACCACCCAAGCAAGGCTGGCTGAGCAGTTCCCAGCAGGGCCCCATAGCCTGAGACGGCTCGTGGGCCACGGCAGACTGGCAAGCAGTCCCGCCCATATCTTCTTCTTTGGACTGTTCAACTCACATAGGCACGGGAATAATCCCCAACCCCCCAAATGCCACCAAGCATTTCCTAACCCTTCCAGTTCTGAGGCCCTGTCTTGTGGGCCTCAGGCCACAACTGAAGCCTTTCTCTAGAGTCTCTCATCTCTTCCTGGCCAGACTTTGGGGAGGCTAAATTCTCTCCAGGACTAATCAGAGGGGGGCTGCAGGAAGCTGGGGTCGGAGGAGTGAAGTGGCACCCCGCCCCCACCCGGTCCTGCCCAGGTCACCAAGCCCCTGCAGTCCGCGCAACTGGCGCCAGCGCTCACCTGCACGAAGCCCCAGAGCGGGTGGAGCGCGCAGTGCAGCAGCAGCGAGGGCCAACAGCAGCCGCGGCGCAGGACCAGATCCCGGAGGAGCATCTCGGCCCGTGGCACCCGCTCTCGGGGCGAACTGTCAGGGGAGCAAAGCTTGGGTCAGGCGGGCGCCGAGCGGGTACTGTCGTGGTAGCGCACCCAAACACTGAACAAGCAGCTAGACAGGCACGCCCCGCACTCTGGGGCACCGTCGTAAATCAAGCCTGTCCCCTCACTCCAGTTTGCACATTCGGTGACTTCTCGTGCACACTCTCAGGAACCGACTTCCCAGAACTCACACTCTATCTTGGTGCATGCCCTCAGAACCCTGCGTGAATATCTTGGCCCAGGTGCACGTCCCCAGAATCCTGCACGCACACCTTGGCCCCATGCGCTTCTTCAGAAACAGTCAAGCACACATAGAGTGTCCTGTGTGTCACCCCAGAAACAGCCATACACAACTCACTCCCACAGTTAGCACACTCCGAACCCAGAGGAATCACTCACCCTGCGTGCACACCCACCGACTCCTGCCTGCACACTCGCTGACCCTGCATGCACAACACCACGAAATCACACGCTGCGGGCACCCTCCCTGCCTCCTTGCCCTGCCCGCCCTCACTGCGCACCTGAAACATATGCGCCTCCGTGCGCGCCCCATTTACCCTGGCACGCACCCCCGAGCCCCGGCCTCCCGCCCCAGAGCGTGAGCTTCCCCCAGGTCTCCATCTCCGCCCGCACCCCTCCAGTGCTTCACGCCACCTTGCCTGGGGGCCGCCCCAGCCGCTTCTCGGCGCGGTGAAGGGAGGTCTTACTCCCCCCCGCAACAGACTGTCCCCGAGCCGCCGGACGGCCCCCATTTAAAGCCAGCCGCCTCCCCAGTCCCCCGCCTTCTAGGCGGGGCCTCGGTGCTCACCCGAGCGACTGCGCGGGCGCTTGGGGGCTTCACGTGCCTGGGAGGAGCACCGGGCACCGGAGCAAAAGTTTGCGTGCGGCTTGGGCCTCCAGGGCCGCTGAGCTGGGGTCCCAGGCGGTGCGCGCTCGCACTGGGTGCAGGGCGCGGTGGCTCCAGGCTGCGCCTGGCCGCGCGCGGGGCGGGAGGGGCGGCACCCGATGCCCGGGGCCAGGGCAGGCTGCCGAGGCGGAGGCGGGGGCGGGGAAAGTCTCTCCCAAGCCCCGGGTCCCCGCCCTTGGCGGTGGCGCCGCGCGGCTGCCCAGGGTGCGGGGGTGCAGGAGCTCTCCTCGTCCGTCACGCCGGCCCGCGAGAGGCAGCGGCGAGAGACGCTGGCTGAGAGCGCCCGCTCGGGCAGCAGGGCCGCAGGCGGAGGCGAAATAAATAATGCACGAAAAAGGAAAACAGACGTGAGCCTCGCCAGAGCCTCGCCCGCCTCCCGCGCGGGCAGCGCTCCCGCCCGCGCTCCCCGCCGCCGCCAGCGCTGCTGCAGTGATTCCTGGTCTCCATCTAGCGAGGTTGTTGTGAATTGGGCGCTCAATCATTTATTAATTCGCCCGCGAGGAAGGGGACTCAGCTCCAGGGGGACTTGCTCCTTGCTTGCCCTCCTCCCAAGTTTCTCCGAGGCGGCCGGAAGGGGGTAAGGACTGATTCGTGGAGACCCCTGTTGGCGCTGTGTCCTTGAAGACCCTTTCGGAGGGGACGGAAGCTCCCGCAGGTGCCGGGGCTCAGGCGCAGGGGCCAAGGGCTCGCTCTCCCTCCCACACAGGCCCCTCTCCAACCACAGGGTTGCGTCTGGGCAGGAGCTGCTGATGGCCCTGGGGAAGGTCTTCCCACTGCTCTGTTTCCTCAGCCACCTCCAGCTCCTCTGTTTGCAGCGAGACCATCAACAAGTAGTCGCCAAGCAGCCCCGGACCTTTCTTTCAAACAAGTCGCCCCCAGCTCCCAGGCCACACCTCAGGCATTCGAAGCTGCTCTGTTCATCTGGTGCAAGCGAGTGGCAAGCGCTTTGACTGATGGCGTGGCCTTGCAGAAGGGTCCCCAAGGCATGGCCAATCCTAGTTTCCGTTTGGACGGTGGTACCAGGGGCTCTGGACAGAGAGTGGGGCATCGGACACTGTAGTTCATTCACTGAAACAATATTTTCTTCCTTCATTTCCCCAGTCTCTAAGGGCACCCTTAAGTCACCTCTATAAACACATACTCTAAGTACAGACTGTTCGCCCTGCAAATCGGCTTTCAGACCAGTTTCCTAGGGACCACCTTTATGTGGAGTGCTGACCTAGGCTCTTCCCCGCAGGAGCTCTGCGGAGACACGTGAACCAGGGAGATGCTGGGGACAAACAGGAATGAGGCCGTGTCCCCTTCCTCCAGGAACTTGGGGTCTGACCTGGGAGACAGTCGAGTCGGCCATTCCACTGTCGGCCGTGGCTGGGAGAGGGACCTGCGCTGTAAGGGGACAGAAGAGTGAAGGCTGGAGGGAGGGTCCGTGAAACAGGATGAGGTGACCTGCTGGGAGTCGAGGGGTCTTTCACGTGTTAGGAGCCCCTTGGACAAAGATGTGGAGATTCTGGTTCATTTGTTCATTCGTTCATCGTTCACTCTTTCATTTCGTACATAGTGCTTGTGAGCATCTACTAAGGGCCAGGCAGCGCATTGGATGCTGGGTACACAACAATGGACGAATCAGGTCTTGTTGGTGCCCTGGGGGGCCCACGGTTGCGGGAGGAGAGACGGGAATAAAATACTGGTGTGCGTGGAGGCTTCCTACACGCCTGTGTCTCACCGATGGTGTGAAACCAGGGAATGGGGCACAACACGGAGCCCTGGTGGTCAGCTGAGGTCCAAGTAACCCTGCATTTTGACGCCTTTCCACTCCATTATCCCAGGCAGGATATTTTGGTCAGTGATGTTTATTCATGGAGCTCTTTGCCACTTAAAAATGTTCTTTATGCTATGTTTTAATCCAGTTCTCACAGTTCTGCGAGGTAAATATAATTGCCCTGTCTGACAAGTTCAGAGAAGTGACTTACCCAGGACCATATAGCTGCTCAGCTGGGCTTCCAAAGTACTGACCCCCCCCCCCACTAGAGGTCCAATACTTTGGAAGGACCTGCGCAGGTTCTGCACGTTGGAAAGCCTGTGTTGTCCATTCTGGCCTTCAGGAGCCCTGGTCTGGACCCAGTGTAGACTACTCTTCAGTGTGACCTGGCCCTCCTACCACTGTGGAATATCACAGCCTTTCTAGGGTGAGGGCTGGGCTCTGTCACGGTCCCCTCCTGTCACGGCAGGACGCAGGCAGGCTCTGGCTCTTCTCACCCCTGCTGGACTCACGTGGCAGCCCACACCACAGTACCCGGGATCTGCCTCCGGGGGCCAGGAAACTCCACTCAAAAGGCAGGGAAACCTCGGGGCAAATTTGTGACCAGGGAAAAATTAAGGAGGCGGGCCTGGCATAGGTTGGCAATGGTTTCGTTTGGCCCTCCAGGGATGTTCCGTAGGCATGAAGGAGCAACTGACAATGCTTTTTTCAGAAGATGTTGCCAGCTTGGCAACACACAACCTTGTGTTTGCTTTCTTCCTTGCTTCACTTCCTCTCCCCGCCCTTTATTTTTGTGGCCCTAGGGTTGTATCCCTCAACAAAGTGTTAGCAAGCAAGCAATGCTTCAAGCTCTGCCTCCTAAGGGACCTGGGACAATTTGGCACTGCCAGACGCTCTAGAGAGAGAATGTTCTGGATGAACATTGCAGCTGGCTCCCCCATCTATCTGGCAGCAATAGGGGCCTCATTACTGAGGGTAAGCAGGGTCCTATGTGGCATATAGGGACGTAATTTCTGCAGCTTCACCTGCAGCTACTTGGAATGAGATGCGTGTAGAAAGCAAGGCTTTGGGAGGTCCAGCACCTGCTGCCTGGGATCGTTCTGGGAAGTTATAACCGTGAGGATTGGGAGCTTAGATGGCTTCTTTTGACAGTACTCAAGTTCTGCCAAAACGGGGGTAGATTCAGGAAAGCTGCTTGCCGACCTAAGGCATTCTCTGTGGCAAGCTGAAAAGAACACTGAGCACGCAGCCACCCAGGTGTCCTACATCCAAGTCAGGGGTCTGGAATAGGGACATTTGGGTGCACAAGCCTGAGACTCTTGGACCCCAAATCTCCCTAAATCCTCTGGCTGGTAGAAGCACCCCTTTTCTCCTTTGTCACAGTAGAGCAGCTCCTCTCAGCCTGGCGACCGAGCAGTGACCCTGTTGCCGCAGGTGCCTTGCCAAGATGGTGCTCGTACCTATGACAGTAGTCTACATGAGATGCTAGAAGTTTCCTGGCACACTACTGAGAAAAGGGACAGAAGGCTGGGAGACATGCACATATTAGCATCATGAGACCACCACCCGACTGTCTCCTGGGATGGCCCAGAGGACATTCCCTTCACTGGTGAGTGGGGGGAGTGCCAGCTTTTGTGTGAGAGGTTTGATGGTAGCGATCCTCTGAAGGCTGAGTTCAAGGGTGGGAAATGGTAGGGAAACTGACTCCTTAGCATCAGTGGGAATCAATGTCTTAGCAAAGGCCAGCTGGGCTCCCGAGTCATGAGAGACCCAGGGGACGTAATTACCATAAGGACAGCAAGGCTAGAGTGGCAATCGGGCTGACCTTGAGCCATAGGTGTCTATTTCAGTGGGTGACAGATCATGGTGTCACTAGGGACAAGACCAATGGAGACAAGGATATTGCTCAGTTTGTATAATTATTTCTTAAAGAAAACCAAGAGTGCAAGAGCAGGAAGATAACAGGGTTTATTACAATGGAAAATGAGCTGTTTGTTCACAACCCAGTGCCCAGTGATTGAAGCGCCTTAGAAGACAGGCTGGGTAAAGCTGCTGAGTGAGAAGGTTGGTCAGGAACAGCAGCCACCCGATGTGGGACAGAGGTGGCACGCTTTGGGCCACGCTCGAGCAAGTCCACGAGGAACAGGTAAGTTACATCAGCAGGTGGCCTAGATCCTGAGCTCCGCAGAAGTTCTTCCTCAATTGTACCTAGAGCCTCAAAGAGGAGGCTACCTGTGACTCCCTGACAGAGGATGAAAGGACCGAGGCCTCGTCTACAGTATATTGGTCCTAGTTGGGAACAGATCACCGTTGCATTACATCCCCGCTTAAGGGTGGAAGGAGCGCTGGCCCGAGGTGCAGACAGGCACTGGCTCCTGGGGCAATGCAGGGGTACCCTCCTGGGGGTCAGGTGCACAGGAAATCGGTGAGTTCGTGGAGTGGGAACAAAGGGTTTTTCTGCCTCCTGCTTACACACCAGAGAGCTTCCACTGCCAAGGAAGCTCTCAGAATCCAGTTGGATGGGAGGAGCCACCCTGTAGAAGTCAGCGGCCTCTCTCTGGCCATCTTAGTACCCCCCCAAACCATGGCGTGGTCTGCCGAAGGCTCAGCTCCAGATCATCTTAGAGACGACAGCTTGTGGGCTTGAGACGTTTTCCTTCTGGATGTAATGTGAGTCGGTAAGTGTGTCTCCAGTCGCTAGAATACACAAGTCTGGGAACCAAGGTGTGGATGTAGGCTTGGGCCCTCTGAGCCCAATGGCCAGTGAGATGCCTGAAGACTGTATTCCTTGTTCCTGCAAACTTAGACTGTCCGGCGTGAGAGGCCCTGGCTCCTATGGCCCCTCTCTCCCCCGAGCTCAGAAGAAAGGCCATGTGAGGACAACGCAGCTGTCCGTGATCCAGGAAGAGAACTCTCACCAGAAGCTGACCCTGCTGGACTGTTATGGGGCTTCCAGCCTCCAGAACTGAGAAAAAATGAATTTCTGTTGCTTAAGCCCTGCCCCCACTCCCACCTATAGTATTCTGTTACGGCAGGCCCAGC